ACATTGTAGCTGTGGAGGGATCTAGCCCAAATAATGGGGTTTAGTGTTGCTTCTTTCATCATCGAGTAGATAGGTATGCCTTTGAGAATTAAGTTCAAAGATAAAGGGAGTGTAGGATCATATAGTTACCAAAATGGAAAAGAGTTTTGGCTGGAAGAGGAGATATCTGTTTGGTGGGGGGGAGGCTCACTTCATTAAAAGCACCCTTTCTAGTTTGCCATCCGATGCATATCATTAGGGAGAGATTTTGAAGTGCAAAAGAGATATCATTTGGTTCATTTGAATTATGTTAATCAGCCATTTGTCTATAGAGGGATGTGCATTAGACCTTTGCAACGCCTTAACAAAGCCTTACCAACCAAGTGGCTTTAGAGATTCTTGATTTCTTGGGGGTATATTCTGGTGGAAGCTTATCCGTGCTAAATATGGTCTCCCTCATGGTGGTTGGATATCAAATTCATTAAAGATGCTGTATGGTTCTAGCCGCTGGAGTTAGATTTATGAAGGGTGGGGTGATATGATTGACTGTATGTGTTTCAGGGTGGGATATGCATTTCTTTTAGTTATTGGGAGGATGTGTGATGTGGTTATCATTGAAGTCCCAATATCAGCATATTGAGTATTGCCAGGTTCAAGAGGTGCCCAGGTGAGTGAATGTTTTGTGGAGCACAATGGTATTTTTAAGTGGAACATCCTTTTGTGAGTCGAAATTTGAATGACTGGGGAGTGGAGGAGTTGATCTCTTTGATGGCCTCCTTTTCTTCTTCTGAAGTGGTTCAAATGTTGGAGGCGGGCCAGAATGGAAGTTCTCTAAAGAACAGTTTCTCACTAAGTTCTTTTTGTCTCCAACTTTGGACATAAAGTCATTTTGTCGAGTTCCCAGAAGCAAATATGGAAAAGAGTGGTTTCTGTTCGGGTGGCCTTTTCTTTTCCCCCTTTGGAAGTTATGTATGACAGTTTCCTCCCTGTTGAGAATATGATAAAAAGAGGTATCATGAAAATTGGCTATTTTCTTTGCTAATGAGTGATGAGAGTGTGATTACCCGCTGTACTTTTTCGAGAGTTGCTGGTCTTTCTCCTTTTTTTTTATTTCTTTTCCTTTTGCCTGGGAGGATATGTAATCCTCCATTTACTATATTCATTTTCTCTATATTGTTTTTGTCAAAACAAAGAAACACTCCTCTCCTTTGGTACCTTATCCTAGATGAGCTGATGCTTTGTGAATATCATCCTCTTTTCCTTTAAAAGAAATTGATATGAGGTTTTCTTGTTAGGATTTTTTTAAAAAGAACCTTAGGCAAAATCAATGATAACAATTTAAACTCAATTCGGGGAAATACTTCAAAGTTCAAATTTTGCTTGACACTTAATGTTTCACAACAGAGTTCAAATTTGGCTTGAAGTGAAATCTGAGCTTTTCTTAAGACTGGAATTTTTATTTTTGTAAAGGTTCGAGTTTGGCCCAATTAAATAAAACTGAGCCAATCCAAGCTTGGTCCGGAGCTTGAGTAAGCTCGGGTTTGAATTATTAAAAAATAGAAATTCAGGTATCTTTTCACAAAATTAATTAAAGTTTTTATATTATATGATTTAAGTTTATATATTATATTACTTCGGTCCACTATTTTAGAACATAACATTGAATGTTTTGATAATCTCAGCTCTATAGTCGATTGTTTAATTGATTTGTAAATTTTTTGTAAATGGGCGGTTCCCTCTTGGCACCTTTACTTCAATACAATTTCATACTTTTATTTTAAAAAATGATTTAAATAGAAGAAAGTGTATTAATATGCTTTTACATATTTATGTATATTTAATATTTAAATATTAAAGTCTGTATACTATAATATATAAATAAACATATGTAAATTAAATTTGTAAAATATTAATTTTCATTATAAAATAAATTTTCATTATAAATGTTAAAATTACATTTATCTATAAAAAAATAATTACATTGTAAAATAAATTTAATCAAAAATATCTTCAAGTTTTCGGGTTGAATACTTATGGCCTTGCCTTTGCTGAAATAATGACACTCAGTTAGTTTCCCTCCTTAAGGATCAGGTTGTGGGTCTAGAAACGGGATACTTTAATTGAGATTAAAGTTTTTTTAGTAACTTTTCTTCTTTCTTTCTGTATTGTGACAGAAAATTCAGGTCTCCTAAAAGAGGATCCTAAGGTCTCAGAGTTTAGAAAAAAGCCCAAACTTTGTTGAACAAATTTTCCTTTTATCATGTCTAGAAGGATCTTTTTATTGTCAATTAAAGAGTTAAATGCCAACTAAGCTGTTTTCCTACCGTTAAATAAATGGGAAATGAAACTGAAATAAACTATTAGACATAAAGTAAACTAAGAATGACATAAAACGAGAACAAAATAAAAAAAGAGATTAGAGTTATTACAGAGAAGCCTCTTGATTGTTTTTAACCCTTTTGACTTGATCACTCTTTTTCCTATTTGACTTGATCACTCTTTTTCCTATGCGTAAAACACTTGTAAACTTTTCCTAAAAGGAGCCACTTGACTGTTTCTTCTTCACCCACCCTTGACTTATTAGAACTTGTAACAGATTCCTATAAACGAGCTCAAATTTAATTAAAAGCTGGGTCAAATTGAGCTCAAGCTGAGATCAAACTATTTATTAGCAGGTTTGCCTTGGTGTCAACATTACTTGCAAATTCTTTTCCAAGAAAACTTTTTAACACTGATTGGGAGTGGCAGGGTGATAAATAGGAAGACTCCACAGTGAAAGCACTATCCTTTTTCAACAACTCAGCTGAAGGTTTAGCACTCCCTGGTTGGTTTCGATCTGCAGGTTTCCAAACATAACCAGCAACATGGTCATCTTTTTAAATTCCTTGTCAAAGGCATATCCCTACAAAGTTTTGATTCTTACAAAATCCTGACAATTCTAAAGGAATGAGCACAATAGATGTGGTAAACATTCAGTGCAATGTTGATGGAAAACTGTCATATATTGTGGAAGGCATATTTTATCCTTGCAAGACACAGTTATATGTCTATTTCATTTGTATTTATATACTTGAGTTATAGATTCTATTTATCAGTATATTTGCTATTTATCCTTTGTGAATGAACTAATTTTACTTATAAATTTACATGTTCCAAGTGCAGCCAGGGTATACAAATTCTTTAACAAGCACGTTGCTTGTGTCGACTCAGAATGTGAGGGAGCCTGATCTTCAATATTCACCCTTTCCTGTGACACAAACGTTGCCCACAAAGTACAACTCCGCTGCTTCGTCAATTAGTGGTCCAACCATTTCCATGTCAGAGGTGATCCCTTGCTTTAGCTTACTGACTAGGGTGAAACTGACACAATTGTCTCTTGTTTATTGCTGCTTCTTTTCTTTTCTTAACCAGTAGTATATTCGTTCCAGGAAAATTACAAAATGGAATGGTATAATCTGTGTATTTTTGTTTGTCACCTATCATGAAAATATAACTGGAAAAGTTGACAATTAAAATATCAGGTTATGGGCTGAACCCAAGGATAACATTTATGATAGAAGGAAGAACAATAATCTATACTTTTTGGAACCTTCATACTGCTTCTCCCTCAAGACGTTTAGCTTAACTTGAGCAAGCACTGGGGACTAGGAGGGTGCGGTCTGATGTAGAATAGAGAGCGCTGAAAATGTTCATATTTCAATAATAGGAAATATAAAGCAGAATCAATAAAGGAACATAAACATTTTGGGAAGTTAACTAAAAGAAATAGGAAAATTTAATTTCCTTTTCCAAGTTTTGAATAGTTTTGCAGTAAAGAAAAATAAGATCTATTTTCCTAATTCCTAAATTTCCTGTTTCCCTAATTCCTTCATATTTAACTTATGTTCCTATTTACTAAGTTTCTAGATTTTTATTTCTGATGTATTTGGTGCATATAAATAAGGTACCTAGTTAAGTATTAGTTAGAGTACTGATGATTATTATTCAAATACTGGTATATTGATTAGAATATTGAGATTCAAGATCTCCAAGTTTGATTCTTAATAAATTTTCTATAAGTTTTGTTTTAAGCTCTCTTTGGCCTGCATCAGTTGGTATTAGAGTAAAATTGACATATCATGCGGTCCCGAGTTTCCTCAACCCAACCTCTTGGCTCCCAAAAAAATAAAGAAAACCCTAAAATACTAACATAGTTGCCAAGAGCAATAATAGAGAGAGGACAAATGTTGGCCAACGTGGTTTC